AGTACGCAGTTGAGTTTTCTTGCACGTGCCAACTCTTGTATAAAGTCAGTTGGATATTTAAAGAGTTTTCACTGCTGTTCGTTTTTCACTGGGAGTTTTTTTTTTTTTTGGCATGAAAAAAATATTCCAGGACTTTAATGGAGCTCCATAGATGATTATCTCTCATGGAAGTTCCTTCTAAGACAACACATTGCATCATCAAAGTTGTTGCCTTCTGTTTGGTGAAAGAACGTTACAACTCCTTTATTCCAATTTTGCCATTTCACCATTTATGATAAATTTCAGCTAAGACCTCTTTCACATTATCTTTACACTCCTGGAAAAGGAGGGCCTTATGCATTGTGGTGGGAAGTGTGGTATGGGGACATAAAAATGGGATGGGAGTGAGTACACAGGAAATTTATTTTAAGAGGCAATGGTCTGCAGAGGTGGACGTGTTTATCTGTGAGTCTCCCCCTGTTTTCTCTTTGAACAGCACCTTTGTGATGGCTCATTTATGGCTCTGGAGCTTCCTATGCTCCCTTTCATCTTAAGACGATTAGAACTGAGCTCCCTTCCCTTCTCTGATACGTTCTGTAACAGTGATTCTTGTTCTATCCATTGGGGGTGGCTGTAGGGAAGGATTCATGCATCTAAGCAGTATCTTATTGCATTTGGTGGCTTTTCCAGATACATGGGGGAAGTGTGTTATAGATTAATTATGAAAGCCACATAAAGAAGAGATGATCATAACATGAAACCTTTCAGGTCAAACTTCTATGAATTGGGGGCATATGACACATTTGCAGGTTTATTTTTTCTGTAATGCTCCTGCTCCTTATTATAGGATGGAGGTTGTTAGGAGGATTGGCAGACCATAAAACTGGAAGATTGTAAAAGATATTACAGTATGTATAGTGATATAACCTATATCAGGATGTACAAATGTTTTCCAATTTTGAGACAAGGCTTGAAGTATGGTATTGTCTGCTTCTGTGATACCAGAAGGCATCATGGAATTAATAAAAGCATCTAAACATAGGCAAAACAGTCTCTGACATAAATCTCAGCAATGTTCTCCTAGGGCAGTCTACCCAGGCAATAGAAATAAAAGTAAAAATTATCAAATAGGACCCAATTAAACTTATAAGCTTTTGCATAACAAAGGAAACCATAAGAAAAACAAAGACAACCTATGGAATGAGAGAAAATATTTGCAAAACATGAGACTGACAAGGGCTTAATCTCCAGAATATATAAACAGCTCATATGACTTAATAAAAAAAAAAAAACAAACAACCCAATCCAAAAATGAGCTGAAGACCTAAATAAGCAATTCTCCAATGAAGACATACAAATGGCAAATAAGCACGTGAAAAAATGCTCAGTATCACTAATTATTAGAGAAATGCAAATCAAAAGTACAGTAAGGTATCACCTCACACCAGTCAGAATGGCCATCATTCAAAAGTCCACAAATAATAAATGCTGGAGAGAGTGTGGAGAAAAGGGAACCCTTCTATACTGTTGATGAGAATGTAGTTTGGTGCAGCCATTATGGAAAAAAGTATGGCGATTCCTCAAAAAAAAATAAAAATAGACTTACCCTATGATCCAGCAATCCCACTCCTGGGCATACATCTGGAGGGAGCTCTAATTTGAAAAGATACATGTATCCCAATGTTCATAGCAGCACTATTTACAGTAGCCAAGACATGGAAGCAACCGAAATGCCCATCAAGAGAGGACTGGATAAAGAAGCTATGGTATATATATATACAATGGAATACTACTCAGCCATAAAAAAGAATAAAATAATGCCATTTGCAGTAATGTGGATTGATGGTCCATCCAAGTGAAGTAAGCCAGAAAGAGAAAGAAAAATACCATATATCACTCATATTTGGAATCTTAAAAAAAAGAAAAGAAAAGCAAAAACCCCATTATGAACTTATCTACAAAACAGAAACAGACTTGCAGACATAGTGAACAGTCTTATGGTTACTGGGGAAAGGGGATGAGAAGGGATAAATTTGGGAGTTTGAGATTTGCAAATGTTAGCTACTATATCTAAAAATAGATTAAAAAAACAAGTTTCTTCTGTATAGCACAGGTAACTATGTTCAATATGTTGTAATAACCTTTAATGAAAAAGAATATGAAAACAAATATATGTATAAATATGCACGACTAGGACATTGCGCTGTACACCAGAAATAGACACATTGTAACTGACTGTACTTCAAGTAAAAAATAAAGAAAAATAAAATAAAATTCCATGAGCTAGATTGGCCTCTTGTTTCATTGCATTGCCTTGGAACCCAAACAAAGCCCTAGCTATCAAGAGAACATCATGGTAGTTTGATCAGAAAAAAAAATTAGTGAAAAACAGTGTTTCAACAAGTCAAAAGTTTTATTAATGTAGTCATGAAAACTGTAAAAGCACCTATTTATATACAACCAATTCCTTAATTACAAATTATTCTTATCGATCCTTACTTCCCTGAGGATCTATGGCAGTAACATTGATGAATTTTGTTTTGGTTATTGTGTGCACTTCAAAGCCATCACACTACAGTTAGTGAAACTAGGTTCCTACACAAACATGCAAACCTTTAGTTTTCAGAAGTCTGAATGTGGAACAAATGTTTAAATGATACCAAACAACAAAGGCTGCTTTGTATAGCCACTGTAAATCTTGTACCATTTCTCAGAAACATTCAGGTGGATTACATTTTATTACAGGGCTTAGAAACTATGGTTTGATTTTATACGGACTCTACTGTTTAAGGATCAGAATTGCCTGAGTAATAGAGCTGCACTCTGTCTCAGGGTTCCAGGGAAAGGAGTTTCAACTGTGAGATAAACAAGTGGTAGAAGTGAAACACTTCATCAACATGGCCTGATGTTCTCTGCTGCTTTCTTGGATCTATCTGATTTGATATAGATGAACTGCTACTGGTTTTAGTCCTTCAGACCAGATGGAAGAAACTACAGAATACATGCAAATGGAGAAGACGAACACAGGAAGAACTATACGCAGGTAGTCCCTGCACCTCATACTGGCCTATGTTAAACTTCTTTCCCATTGACACTGTCACTGAGGTGGTCCCAATCTAACACTGAGTAGAATATGACGCTTTTTTCAATAAAGACCTTGGTGGAAGGGCTCAGACGTCCACTATTAACCAAATCAACCAGAAGAAAAACCCATTTTGAAAACTGTTGAATATTTCTCTATAATCTTGCCTGTTCCTTTCTGAAGCATGAATTCAGGACAAGTATCACTTGTCTTTGTGATTATGAGTTAGCATTCTCAGTGGCCAAGCGAAAACCTTCCTGGTTTTGTCATTTATTAATTTTTTTCTTCTGAATTTTCTTCTCCTTAATATGTGGAGAAGGGATGTCTGGAAAGTTAAAGGCTCTCAATGTAACCTGAACTGTGCAGTGAATCAACAGCATTCTGGTGGTGGTGGGAATCAAGCACTTGCAGAACAAAGTAGTGCTTCCTTTATTTAATTCCTTCTCTAGGGAAAGGGAACTTCCTCTAATATTGAGCTACCTTTACAATTCAATTTGAAGTGACGTTAACAGGACAGAGACCTGTGCACACCCAACAAGTCACAAAGATAACAGCCAAGAGCACCAAATGAATGAGTGCGTGTGAAAGCACTTTAAATCTGCACATGCTTGTAAGTGTAATTAGCACCTTCCTATCATCCTTTTTATCCAGAAAGGGCCACTCTGGGAGGGAAGTAGTTGTGTTTTTAGGAAGTGCCAGCACTATTCCCCTGTGAAAGGATTATTTTTGTGTTTAGCATACTTTTGACAGAACCAAGTAAACTAATATGTATTCTGTCCATAAATCAGGAAGATAAAGGGCTGTGGGTGACTGCTGTTCTCCCAGACCTCTCTGTTTATCTCTTTATAGTTGACGGTTTACAACTGTGAAGAGTGATGCTCTAAATATAAAGCTTGCTACACTGCCATTACATGTGACATTCATGCAGATACTAATGTATGCTTATATCTGAGGCGTGGTGAAGCAATCAGGAGTTTTTGAAGTTAACAACTACTTGAGATAAACTAAATTTCCTAATTCAAGGATGGATTTAGTTCTTAATTCGGAATAAAAGCTAGAAAAAGGAGCCACTCAGTTGAAGGTGCTGATATAAGTCCACAGTATTAAAGTTAAAGATAACATGAAGATAAAATAGTTAAATGAATCTAAGTCTATAACAAAACAGACAGCAGAATTCTATCCCAAGAAATTGGTTTAGAAATTTGGAAAGAAAATTAAGATTCGTCTTGAATAATGACTTACAACCTCTTATTGACACATGATAATATTTATCATTTGCTAATCAACATCATTCACTAGTCAACATCCTATTTTCTATCCTAGTTTTTTTTTGGTGTGTGTGTGTATGTTTCAGAAGGCATTTTCTTTTTGAAAAGAAATCCAAGGGCTTCGGATTACCCAGATAACATATATAAAATTCAGCTCATTAGGTAAATACTGAAACATCTAATTGTACCCATTTGGGCCCAGTATCTCTACCTCTTTCTGAGAAGATGAGTCTGAATTCAAATACAGTGATAGTGAGCAGTTTAATAACAATGCTTATAGATTATTTTCAAAGATTCTCCAGGCATTTATTTCCACCCGGAAAATAGCTGAATATGTGGAGAGAAAGCACTTTCTGTTTAGCCAACTTGACCCCTCCCCCCAAAACAGCTGTGCCATAGCCTTTAACTCAGAGAGGGAAGGACGAAGAACCTGGAAAAAATGTATTTAAATAATAATGGGTTCAGAGAGCCTCGAAAAGGTCAACATAGAAATACGCGATTTTAATTGTGTAAATGTCTTGAGTCTGGGGAAGGTCTGTGAACCAGACAACATTAAATGATGCAGCAAATTAGACCCACAGGGAATGCACTGGTACCGGACAAGAAAGAATGAAGGGTGTCATTTTTTGTGTTTGAGGCGAGCAGGAAAGAGTTGACCAAAGCGATCTTACCTTTATTTTCTGCCTTCAGCTCCTCTGCCATCAAGCTGTCTTGTCGGTTACCAAGCACGAACGCCAGAAACGAGAGGATGAGGGCATCCAAAATCCCAATGATAGCCAGGATGTACGCCCAGCGGACTGAACAAGCTCCAAGAGTGTACTTGTCTGTCTTTTCTCCACACATCCGTTTTACTTCATCTGAATCCCAGCCATCAGGGAAAATCATGCAGCCAAGCACAAGGCAGGCAGCTAAAAGAGGGAAAAAAAGGAAAGGAGTTGACATAAATTTCATTTCATCAAATATTGCTACTACATGTCAAATCATTGTTCAAATTCTTGATGTAAAGAACAGAAAATCTTAAACCTGCTGTCCAACCCTGAGTGGTTTTTCACCCCCTTGTTTAATCTAAAAGTAGCCCAGCAGCCCAGCACTCTGCAGTGAGAGGAGCTCTGGGAATGCTCTAAAGGGAGCATTCAAAGAGAAGTTAAAGTATGCTGATCAATTATACTAAAAAAAAAAAAAAAAAAAATTTCAGTGTGTAATTGTGGGAAGGCTTCCACTGCAAATATGCCACAAGGAATCCTAACACTGCAGAATGATAATTCAGTGCTGGCTTTGAAGAGCTAGGACAGCCACCCAAAGAGGGATAAGAGTAACATGGAAAATATCAGAGCATATACTGACTTTGAGTCACAGTGAAAAATAATTTCATACTGTGGCCTCCAACACACACTGAGAAGTTTCTTGAAACTATGCTTACCACATGCAATGCACTCTGATATTTTCAATTCTATTCTCTGCTCTATTTCATTTTCTAAAAGTCTGAAAAACACGGCAACACGTTGTAGACCCAAACAGATTTATGGAAATTCAGGAATTTCAGGAGAATACTTATGTTCTGTTTCCCAAATATCACTGCAGGAATCACATGACTACTTTTTAATAAGAATATGTTACTTTGAAGGCTATTGTTACTAATCTCTTTACGTTTAATCAAATCATTTGGGGGTAAATGACAGTATTAGGTTATACAGAGCCTCCTGAATAGGTGGCTCATTCATTAATTCATCAATTCCTTTGCTCATTAATTTAATAATCCCTTATTGAGTGTCTCCCATGGAGTGTGGGACACAGTTCTTGGTGCTAGGGATACAGCGATCAAGGAAACAGACATGCTTTATGTTAATACAGACTTTATGTTTGGCAGGAAAAGAGGGAAAAAAATGAGTAAGCTTGCAAATCAGATAATTCTAAGTTGTACTAAGTAATAGGTAGGAAAGAAACAAAGGGTTCAGATAGAGAGTAATGAGTGGGACCTTCTTCAAAGATGGTGATCAGATAAGGCCTCTTGAGGGAGTGGCATTTAAGTGAAGGCCAAAAACATGCAAAGCAGGAGATATGTGAAATTGATGGGAAAGATGTTCCAGGCAGCAGCATGTGCAAAGGCCCTGAGGCTGGACAGGGACTTGGTGTTTTTGAGAAGCTGAGGCTGTGAGGCTGGCAGGGGTGACACATCAAGGCAGGCTATTGCTTTCAGGGCACATAACTAAAAAAAATCATGATGGTACAACCAAGTCAGAGTTCTGTGATAGTAGAGGCAAACCACTCCTGAAGCTGGCAAGAGGGAGTCCAATATAACTCTTGCCTCACTGCTACTTACTGAACAAGCCAGAAGTAGACAACCACTTCCCTACTTTTTAACAGGAGCATGGTTCTACCAGGCAGGTCTGGAGGAGACAGATAGGAAGACTGCCTGGGAAAACTCTGCTCTAGGATTCCTAGTTATTTTATAAAATGATAGTTCAAAACTTTGGGTCACACTTAATTCCTCTCTTTTCCTTACCCCACATCCCAAATGTTGCCATGTTCCTCTCATCTATCTGTGCAGTATCCCTGCATAGGTTGGTGTCATTGACACACCTATTTTAAGCCTTTGTTATCTCTCAGAGGGAACCCTAACTTCCCTCTGCCTTCAGTTTGCCCTCACTCTATTTCAGATCACACATTATAGCTCGGACTCAAAATGTTCTGCTGGTTCCCACTGGTATTGAAGAACACCCACTCAGCCAGGTACTCAAGGCTCCATGATCTAGCCCCCACTTACTTTTTCAGTCCTCCTCCCCTTTATGCTCTCCACTTCACACACATTGAAATACACATGATCCCCTGTCCATGCAACAAGTTTTTGGATCTCTATTTTCTCTTTTGCCTGGAGTATTTGCCACTATTATCCCTATGTGTTTTACTCTTAAAAATCTCTTAACATTCAAGTCAAAAGCAACATTCTCCGCAAAGCCATCTCAAATTCTTCTTCACCTACACATTGTCCTTCTCTGAACTCCCATAGCTGTTGACTGCACTTATCTTAAAGCTCTTGCTGTTTTTTTTAACATTTGCTATAGTTACTTATTTACAAGAATTATCTCAATCACAGGCTGTAAGTTTTCTGAGGAAAGAATCTGGAGGGACCTCTAATTCAAAAAGATACCTGCACCCCAATGTTCATTGCAGCACTATTTACAATAGCCAAGACACAGAAGCAACCTAAATATCCATTGACAGATGACTGGATAAAGAAGATGTGGTAGGGGAAGATACAGCTCAAGTGGTAGAGTGTGTGCTTGGCATGCATGGGATCCTGGGTTCAATTCCTAGTACCTCCTCTAAAAATAAATAAACCTAATTACCTCTCCCTGACCAAAAAAAAAAAACAAAACAAATAAATTTAAAATAAATAAGTAATAATAAAGTAAAAACAAAAAACAAAAAAAGGAATTACAAAAAGATGTGGTATACATATACCACATACATACAATGGAATACTACTCAGCCACAAAAAGAGAACAAAATAATGCCACCTGCAGAAACATGGATGGACCTGGAGGTTGTCATACTAAGTGAAGTAAGCCAGAAAGAGAATGAAAAATATCATATGATGTCACTTATATGCGGAAATCTAAAAAAAAAAGATACAAATAAACTTATTTACAAAACAAACAGACTCACAGACATCAAAACAAATTCATGGTTATCAGGGGGAGAGGGGGCTGGGAATGGATAAATTGGGAGTTCAGGATTTGCAGATGCTAACTACTACATACAAAGTAGATAAACAACAAGGTCCTACTGTATAGCACAGGGAACTATATTCAATACCTTGTAATAGCCTATAATGAAAAAGAAAATGAAAAGGAACATATATATTTATATATATAAATATATTATATATATTATATATATATAAAACTGAATCTCTATGCTGGACACCAGAAATTAACACAACACTGTAAAATGATTATATGTCAATAAAAAAGAAGTATCTGCAAGATCCTAGGCTAATGCCTCAGTCAACAAAAGATTAAACAATATTCCTCTTGGCCTTGTAAATAATTATTTCTAATTCTTTACAAATTTATCACCCTGTAAGATGTAGCACCATCACTACACTAAACATCAGAATATACAAGGCATCAGAATATTTGATTCACTTGGACATGCTATTTCCTGACTGGGAGGGACCGTGGAGAATTAGTTCCAACTAGGCTCTTCTCCAAAACCGGGTTTCTTATTAGACTGTCACCTAGGAAATGACTAACTTACTTGCAGTTATAGAGCCCTTCATTTCAGCAGCAGGTTTTCTGGAAGTATACCAGAGAACGTTCTTGTATGTTAAAGAAAACGAAGAGCTCCCACGCTGGAGGTGAGCAGACAGGAATAATGACAAGAAACCCAGGTTTTTATTGAATGCTGCCATGACACTCCTTCATCTGGGAGATACCATCAAGGCACCCTTGTGAGGGCATGACTTGATTTCAATTTTAAGCCTGTTCCAAATGGTTAGGAGGCCTTCACATTCTAAAAGGAACCCCTGCGTGGAGGCTACTGCTGCCCACATCGGCTTCTTCTGAAATAGTACACAAACAGCTAGCACTTCCTTGGAGCCACTAATTGCTCTGGCATCTTTCTTGCCAAAGAACTGAACGTAACCTCTGTGGAGCCAACAGCCTCTGAAAAATCCACAAATGTTTTTAATTAGGTCTTTCTCCAAAGGGAAATGAAGCCAAGATGAGAAAAGCAATAGGGGCCTATGATTTGGGTCACTTGGGCCTGCTGATATTGCTGGACCAACTATCCTAATCAGGACTTCCAACGCTGCAAACTGGAGGACTGCTTATTTTTTGGACAGAAAGAGAAAGTCTAAATTCATTCTTTAAAAAGTCCATGCATGGTTGCACAAAAAGCATGATAAATTGCCTCGTGTGGCTGAAGCACTCAAGGGGAACGTGGTGAAAAAAAAAGAATCTGTATTCACTTAATTCTATCAATTATTCAGGCATGGAGCAATGGAAGAAACTGACGCCAGCAGAGCTGCCAGGCTATGGAGGGGGCACTTTCACACCAGGATTGTTCTTCCAAATACCTGGTAAAGGAGAGCCAAGACCCATTCCTACAGTCTCTTCATTAGCACATGGCCAAAAAACTTGAACTACAGTGTTGAAGTATGATACAATATACAGTTGTTCTTCATTTTATGCAATGGGTATTTTGCTTGTATTTTTATGCAATTGATATTCTGTTGAAGTTCCAAGACTGGAAAAGGTACTATATTGATACCTTAGCTTACCTCTGGAAAACTGAGATGCCAGACAATCTAGGACATGAAGTTAACTGTGGTTTTAGAGTCCAGTGGAGAAAACAAATTGTCTCCTGATAAATTTTGGTTTTAAACCCAGTATAATTTTATGAGCATTTAATTTGAGGTCATAACACAAAAGATACAACATCCCTTAGAAAGGGGTGGGGGAAAAGAAAGTGTAGATAAAACAATGAGCTCTCAAAAAAGGAGAGTTAGAAAGTTATGTGTGATGATGAGAAAGGCATCTCTACTCTGCACAGATTCTCAGCCTAATTGCCTGAGTAAAGGGAGCCCTGCATCCACCTCTACCTTTTGCTGAATCAACTGTGAAACCCACACCCCGAGGTTTAACAAGAAAGGAGAGAATCATGAGTCTACCCACTCGTGCACTTAGGAGCTACATAATGGAGAAATAGCTTTTCTAGAATTTGATACCAGACAAGAGGAAAAATATTTAACCAACTGCAAATTCTGGAAGCAGTAAACATAACCAAAACCTTGACCATGTGACATTTGAAGAACAATGCCTGAGTCAGAACAATGCCTTCCCTTGACTAAAAGGAAATGTAAACTAGTCTTCACCTGCCAGTGAAATGCCCAGAAGGTGTTTTT